GTTTAGTCGCGCGCGTTTGACAAAAAATAGTTTTTTGATAATATTTACTAAATAGTAAAATTAGTAGTATTAGTAAAATAGTAGTCCTAGTGTAAAATTACTAAGCATATATATTTATCACTACCTAATGAACATTTTTTTTACTAATAATTTTTCAGATAAACGAAACTCTTAAACTTTGAAAATAATAATTTGACACTGTATACAAGAAAAACAATAATATATATAATTTAACTTATAAAATTATCATAAAAAATATTTTAATAATAAATAATTTATAAATATTGATATTTAATATTGTTCAGTGCACACGGTAATAAAGAAAGTGAATATTGTATCAAGATTGACCGAGTCTTGAATCGAGCATGGGACGAACATTGGTGTCCCATGCTGAACAAATATTGAGTGACGCGCCGTATATACAGAATATACGGCGCTGGCATTGAAATAGTAGATTAGGCGAGGTGCCTTCCAGCCTTCTGTGGCCGAGCGGTTTAAATGCGTGCGTTTAGGACTTCCGGGTATGCGTTAGGGGCGGGGTGCGTGAGTTCGATCCCACATGCGAGCGAATATTTTTCATTCTTTGTTTTAAGCGTTATATATAATAATAAAATTGTGTGTTGTGTTGTGAATAAAAAAATGTGAATATGTTTGTAAATAATATTAAAAAGTCTGCTGAAAAATCGAGAAAAAAATGTACCGATTAACAGAAAAATTGGTTTCTTTTACTAAAATTATTTTTTTAATATTACTATTTCAAATGAAATTTATTGTTAGTAATATATTATTTATATGAAAATAATATAATTATTATAATAATAACTTATTTCCAAACAAACGCATATAACATGAATAAAAATAATATCAATAATATTCATTACTATTATAATAATAATAATAATAATTATTATTATTATTAATATTATTATTAATATTATTATATACAATTCATATATATTCATATTATATTGAATAAGCGCGAGAGACGCGTAAATTTGGGAACAGTGGAAGCAGCCTTATTTCAGTCCTGCATTATAGGGTTCCGCAGCATTGATTGAACATTAAACGCCAATCTACAACAAAGACTGGAGCGTCAGTCTTAAATAAGTGTTACATTATAGCTAGAAGCAACCTTCGTTCCGCCGTCCCACCAAGGCTTGATCAATGTTGACCAAGCCTCAACGAAGGTTCCGTAAAGCCTGAATCCAGCGTCAGTTCTCGCCTGGGTTGATATTTAAATTCATTGTGAAAAACAAATAAAATTTAAATCAATTTTTATAGAAGCGAAAAGAATTTTATATTCAAGATTTTGAACAATTTCAAATTGCTTTTGAATAAAAAATTATAATTTTCTGTCAATAAGAAACTATTCAGGTAACGTAACGTAAATTTTGACAAATATTTTTTATTGATAAAAAATTGTAATTTTTATTCAAACGAAACTTTTAATTTTTTACAATGTTGAACATTTTTTTCCAAAAAAGAATTTTAAAAAATTCAAAAAAAGTTCTTTACTCTTCCACCACAACGATTTTAAAATTTGTTTTTTTTTTAAATTCGAAATTATGACATTGACTAATAATAAAAAAATAATGATAATAAAATACAAGTAATAAAAATGAAAACTCTAAAAAAAAATTTAAAAAATAAAAAAAAAGAGTAAATAAACAAGTGGAAAATAGAAAAAGAATAAATAAACAAATAAAAAAATAAAAAACAAAAATAATTAAAGAATAAAATTTTAAACGAACCAAAAATTTGTATCCAATATTGCCTTGACTACACGTGTGCGAATAAAATTTTAATTTAAACTTTAAAAAATCGACATTTTTTTTTATTTAATTTGTTATTTTAATTTTCATGATAAAAATCAGTGTAAATAAAAATTTTCTTTTTCTATTTCAAAACCAGTTACAAATTATTAATTAAAAAAAAAAATAATTACTCTTTTTTCTGAACCGAGAGAATTTTAAGTAAACGTTGATTAATTTTTTGTTCTTATTTAATCGATGTAAACTTTAGTGAGTTCAACTTGATTATTATAAAAAAGATATAATTACGGAAAGATTATTCTTTTTCTCCTGATTTTGAGAGCAAAGAAAATTACAATGTTACAAAGTCTAAATGTTTTGTTTGTTTTTTTTCGTGTTATTTAAGAAAAATTGTACAAGTTAGCCATTATGTTGTTTTTATCTTTCCTTTTATTAAAAGCAGAATTGTTGAAGCAAATTATTATTGGAGGTAAAAAACTTTGAAACCTTTTTTCTGTAATGCATACATAAATTTTAATTTTATTTTACTAAAAGTCTTACTATTATACACTATATAATATGTACAAAAATAAAAACTGATGTCGATAATCAGAACGACATTATGGCACGCAGATATAATTTGTATATACCTGAGAGGCAAATTATTCTTTTTTACATCTGATTAAAAAAAAGTACAATTATTTTTGAAACGTAATTTCAAAGTGTGGAAAAGTGCGGAAATTAGAAATAGAATGATAAACATTTGTAAATGCAACGCTGAAAAAAATTCATTTGATTTTAATTATAATGATATCCAGAAGTTCTAAATTTTGAAATGAATGGAATATTTTTTATTGAAAATATTTTCGAAAATTACTGATTGCAATAAAAATTAGAAATTTAAAGTTTGAAGTTGGTATCGACGATTATCGTCAAAAACTATTCTTTGGAAGTTTTTAGTGATGAAAATCGCACTAATTTTACTGTTTTTGTTTAGCTATACTGAAACTTTCAATTTTCAACGATTTCGATTCAAAAACTTCGAAAAAGTGGTTACATTTCTTGGTTTCATAGAAAGAAAATTATTTTTTATGTTTAGCGTCGACGCTAACTTCAGAGATCTTCAAACTTTACTTTTAGAAACTTTATAATTATTTTTTTTGTTAGTGATTCAAAATTATTCTAATAAAAATTTAATTTGAAGAAGAAGTAAATAATTTTCGTTCATTTGATGGTTTCGAAGCTTTAATAATGTTTATTTATTAATATTTTGCTTTAATTATTTAATAATAAATTTTGTATCAAATTAATTTATCAAATAAATATTTACTTGATTCAAATAATTTTTATTTAAATCAAATAAATTGGATTTGAAAAATGTTCCTTAAGTTGTAAAAGTTCGAACGTTAAAAACGAAATTTCTTTGTTTCTTCTTCAAATTAAATTTTTATAACAATAATTTTGCGTTACGTAAAAAAAAATATTTATAATGTTTCTAAATGGCAAATTTAAGTTTTTAATTTTTATCGCACCTAGTAATTTGTGAAAATTTAATAAAACGTATTTCGTTTATTTGAAAATTAAAAACTTGTGAACTATTTGAACCAATAATTTCAGTATTTGGAGCAAAAAAAACCATTTAATTTTTTTAATATTTCATAAAATTATTTGATTCAAGTAAATATTTATTTGATAACATACAAGAAATCGTTTACTTGAATCAAATAAATCTTTTTAGTGAATAAAATAAAATAAATTTTTTTTCTGTGAAACCAAAAAAATGAGACAATTTTTTCATAGATTTTGAGTTCAAACCATTAAATAGAAAAGTTTCATAATTTCAGGTGAAAGAAAATGCAGTAAAATTAGAATCATTTTCATCACTAAAAACCGTAAAAAACAGTTTTTGACGCTAACTTTAGAGATCTGAATAAAATTGACAAAATCGAATCTCAGCTATTAAAATTTTCGTTTAGAAAAAATACAAGCGAAAAAAATTTTTATATACAATATTTATTCGGTTACGATCCTAAAAGAAATAATGAACATTTTGTCGTTTTGGTATGATTTTAAATAGACATTATTTAAATTTGTACTAAGCAGACTCTAAATCTAAACTGGCGTTGAAAAATATTTTTTTAAAATCATTAGTACTTGTAAATTTTTAGAAAAGTTATTTCCTTTCTCACATTAATTTTTTCTTGATGAATGCGTGTGAAGTCCGCAACGTTTATGATTGATTGCAATTTATATTTTTCACAAGAAAAGTAATAAACTTTTTCTGATCAAAAATGTTTTTCTCAAAAATGGTGCACGGAGAAAAATATGAAGTAATTTTTACTACTTTTATAGTAAAACATTTCTGGTTACTTTTACTACTTTCGGAGTAAATTTTGCTACGTACAAAGTAAATTTTACTTTGTAATTTTTTACAAATAATTATGTTCTCTGAACGTAGTAAAATTTACTCCGAAAGTAGTAAAAGTTACCAGAAATGTTTTACTATAAAAGTAGTAAAAGTTACTTTATATTTTTCTCCGTGTGCATCTAGAAACTTGGTAAACATTTATTTTCTAGAAAAGTTTATAAAAATTTAAGATCACTGAAATTAGCGTCGAAAAAAGTTTTGTTTTAGCTCGTTCAAAAATTGGCAACTGCTAGCACTAGTTACGAACGATATTTTTCATAACAAGGTGCAAAAAAGTGCCCTTTTTTGCACCGCGTTATGAAAAATAATTTTATTAACGCTTTAGAATAAAAAAGTGTTCTAAACTTATTTTTTATTTTAACTTCAGAGACTTCGTTGAACGTTGTAAGTTGAACGTTGTAAACTTCACAAAAGTGATTATACGGTATATGCCCTAAAGTACAATTTTTAAGAAAGATTCTTAAATGTTCGTCTCATCAGTAAACTATTTATGATGTCGTCTAAAAAATTAATGCTACAAACGCTTATCATGAGATCATATCGAAATATTTTACAACAAAAAAATGATCCCACTTGCATGTGTCTAGTATTTATATTTTCTATCACATTTGTTCAGCATCTGACTCAAGAGTTTTAAAATCTATTTCTATTGTCATTTTCGCTCCTTCACTTAAGTCTATAACTGCTATAACACTTTCCTAAACTATCACTCAAGAAGAAATAAAAAATTCTTCCTGATAAAGTTTCCTATTAATACTATGTATTGAATTTCTTAAAAAATTGACTACTGACTGAATTTATTGTAATTGTGCGTTATCTACCCGTAAGATCCAGCCAGTCACTTTTGATAAGATCAGCACCTTTCTCGCCGATCATGATAACCGGCGCGTTTGTATTGCCACTGGATATAGTTGGCATGATAGATGCGTCTATAACTCTCAATCCACCAACACCGTAGACTCTTAATCTTGGATCGACCACAGCTTCCGGATCGTGAGCAGGTCCCATTTTTGCCGTACCAACTGGATGATAAATTGTCATCGATATGTGTCTGGTATGACATTCCCAATAGGCATCAGATCCAAATTTCAAATGCTTGCAACCTGGAATTTTGATTCTATGCACTCGTGAACCAAATTGCTTGAAGACCTTCGCCTCACTGACTCTCATCGCTATCTTTGCACCCTCGACCAACGTCGCGATATCCAAAGGATCGTCGAAGTAATTCGGATTGATGATGGGATTCTGAAAGGGATTCGAGCTACTTAATCTAATTGTCCCACGTGATTTGGGTCGCAATAAAAGGGGCATTATTGTCCACGCGTCCTTATTGGCTATTGGTCTGAAAACAGTGTTGTAGACCTCGTCAGTGATGCCCAGTACTTTTCTCACTTGAATGCCCGAATCCGAAGCTATCGACGCCGGTGCCATGTGAAATTGTACATCCGGAAACAATCCACTTGCATTCGCATATTTTGTATTGACAAAAGCATAGGCTTCGACGCCACCTAATGATGTCATTGGACCTCTTCCGTTGGCAACATACTGCAATGTCATTGGTGCTGCTTGAAAGCGATTTTGAACAATTGACACTGGTTTGTCTATTAGAAATGTTAATCCACCCATTCCCACATGATCCTGGAGATTGTCGCCCACTTTCAAGTCACGCAGCACTGGAATTCCAAGTTCCTGTAGGTGTTCCTTGGGTCCAATGCCAGACAGCATCAACAACTGGGGACTATTGACTGCGCCTGCTGAAAGAATCACTTCCTTTCGTGCGCCGATAAATTGTTTTCTTCCATCACGATAGAACTCCACGCCCGTTGCTCTCATTGTTTCAGAATCGATAACAATCTTTGTCACGTGAGCATTCAATGCCGTGTGGAAATTTCTTCGCAATCTCACCGGGCGAATGAAGGCTTTCGCTGTTGAACATCTTGTACCGCGGCGAATTGTTCCTGTAAAACATGGAAATTTATCAAATATTAATTGAATTGTTTCTGTTATTATTTTAATTCTTATGGGAGAAATTATTGTTTTGACAGAATAATTCCCTGAAGACTAAAGATAATCTCCAATGTATTTCAATTTCTATTAGTGTAGGACGATTTCAACAATTTCGATTTTGCTGACTCTAGAAAATGATTTTTCTTTAGTTTAGCTGAATAAAATAAAAATTTTCTTGGATTTTTAGTCTAAAGCGACTTTAAATTCGCTAATAATAGAAATCAAAAAACTACTCTCAAAAATTATAATCTAATTTTTCAAAACGATTCAATTATTTTCAAAAAATATTCGAAATTCAATTATTTTCAATATCTAGTATTTTCATAAAATTTCGCAAAGCAATTCAATTATTTTTTTTAAAAAAAATGATAAAATTAATTCAAAATTCAATTATTTTTATAAATAATAAAATTTTCACAGGAATTCAATTAATTTAGATTATTTTTTAGAAATAGCATTTTCAAAAAAGTTTTAAATGAATCAATTATCTAACAAAATTTTTATACAATTCTTCACAATAATTCAATTACATTCACTAATAATAACATTTTTCATAGAAATTCAATTTTTTAAAAAATTTTTTGATAAAATTCTAAAAAAATAAAGTTTTCTACAAAAGAATTCAATTATTTAAAATAAAATTTTCATAATGTTTATTATATTTCGAAAGCAGTAATTATTGAAAACAATGTTTTTAAAATTCTCATGAAGAATTCAATTATTTTCAAAAATAACAGAATTTTCCACAGAAATTCAATTCTTTTAAACATTTTAATAAAATTTTTCGCAATAATTCAATTGTTTTCATAAATAATAATAAAATTTTTTACAGGGATTCAATTATTTTCATAAATAATAAAATGTTTTACAGAGATTCAATTCCTTTAAAAATTACAAAAATTCTTCTCAGGAATTCAATTATTTTTGAAAATTTTAATAAAACTCATTGCAGAATTTCAATTATTTTTAATACAATTTTAATCGAATTCCTCGAAAAATGTATTATTCTTAAAAATTTTATTAAAATTCGTTGCAAGAATTCAATTATTATATAAAAATTTGTTGATGAAATTCTTTATGAGAATTCAATTTTAAAAAATATTCAATTATTTAATAAATTATATGCTTTTGTATTTAAAGAATTGAATTCTTGTAGAATTTTCTAAGAATAATTGATTTAAAAATGAATTTCAGTTAAAATTTTCGATAATTGTTGAATATTAAAATCATTATGGTGGAAATGTTTAGAAATGATCGAATTTTTATAACACTTTTAATTAAATTCGTCTAAAAAAATTTCAGGAATTTAATTATTTTTATTAATTATAAAATTTATCAAAAAAATTATAAGTAATAAAATTTTGCACAGGAATTCAATTATTTAAAATAAAAATTTGTTGATTAAATTTTTTGGAAGAATTCAATAATTTACAAAAATATAAAATTTTTTCACAGGAATTCAATTATTTTCAAATATTTCAATAAAATTCTTCTCAAGAATTCAATTATTTACATAAATAATTCTTTGAAAGAATTCAATTATGTCGATAAATTACAAAATTATTCTCGAAAATTCAATTATTTTGAGGCATTTTAATCAAATTCTTTGCAAAATTCAATTATATTCATAAATAAGAATATTTATCAAAAGAATTCAATTATTTTTAAAAGGAATAAATTTCTTCTTGGAAATTCAATTATTTTAAGAAATTCTAATAAAATTGTTGGGAAAAATTCAATTATTTTCATAAATTTTAAATTGCTTTTTAGGAATTCAATTATTTTCAAAAAAATGTAATAAAATACCACACAGACATTCAATTATTGTCAAAAATTTTAATAGAATTATTCTTTGTAAAATTTAATTATTTTTAAAAACTTTTTGCAATTCAATGATTTTCAATTTCTACTATTTTCATAAAATTTCCAAACAGAATTCAATTGTTTAAAAAATTTTTTTGTAAAAATCTTTTTAAGTAATTCAATTCTTTTTTATGAATACATAATAAAAATTTCTCAGAAATTCAATTATTTAAATTAAAATTTGTATAAAAGTAGCGGAAAGAAATCAATTATTTAAAAATATTTATAAAATTCTTGGCAAGAATTTAATTATTTTTAGAAATTTTTAAATTCTTTCATGAATATAATAAAATTCATTGCAAGAATTCAATTTATTAGCAGGATAAGAAAGAAGTAAATATTTTTTATGAAAATTAGGAAAAAGTCAGGAAAATAAAAAATATGGAATGGAATTTTTGTCAGTTTTGTGAAGTGTCTAAAACGAGTTTTTTTTTGTCTTCAAGTTTAATTTTTCGATAGCTACTTTTTACTAATTTTTTTAGTTTGATAGCTACTTTTTTAAAATTAATTATCGAGTGCAAAGTCTGAGAAAATCTTCAATGTAGTTCAATTTCTGTTATTGAGAGACGATTTCAACAATTTTGATATTGCTGACTTTAGAAAATGATGATGTTTCTTTTCTGTTTGGCTGCATTCAAAAAAATGTTTAGTAGATGTGACTACTTTTTAACTACTGGCAACAATTCAATTAAGTCCTCAACTGAATTTAAAAAGTTGTATTGACTACCAAAAAGTAGTTAAAAGAACTAAGAAAGTAGTTGGTGCAATCTGATTTTGTAGTTGTTTTTTGTAATTTAACTACTTTTTCTAGTCAACTGGACTATTATTTTTTAACTACATGAAAAATAGTAAAATTAACTACACAAAAATTGTTAGCACAACTAAAAAAATTGTGAAAAAAACTTAAACTACTTTCCACTCAACTACATAATAGTGGTTGAAAATTTCGACTAAATTTTTTTCAGTGTGAATAAAATAATTATTTTTTTTTTGGATCTTTAGACGTCTAAAGCAACTTTTTTTGCGCCTTAAAAGTCGTTAGACGTAACAAAAAAGAGAAATCATCATCAGTTTTTTTAGTGTGTGAAAGATGCATCTTTGGAAAGTAATGTCCAGCTACATCTCCAATTATTAACCCCTTAACTGCCATGGCAAAGATTTTTGTCGTCAAATCTTTGCCATGGCAGTTAAGGGGTTAATAATTCATAAATCGGCTCTAAAATATAATTAAGCTTATCTTAAGTAGGTAAAAAAAATACCTTGAGACAGCATAAATCCAGTTTGGATTTCCCCATTGATGTCCCTATTTTCGTATCCAATCTCCATTCCAGCTTGCACAAAAGCCACGGCCAATGGCGTCCGCCACGGTGATTCCTGAACAGTCAAGAAGCCCCCCGAACCATGATACGGACTATTCATCAAATACGGATTCCGATTGTCCTCAGACTTCTTGAAATAGTAGAGAGCCTGATCGTAGCCCCAACCTGGATTTCCCAACGACTCCCAATAGTCATAGTCGTGTCTATTCCCACGAACATAGAGCATATAATTCAGTACACTGGAACCACCTAAAACCTTCCCTCGCGGCCAGTTACATCGTCGATTTTTCATAGCCAAGCATGCAGCCTCAGTTGGTTCCGTTTTATATTTCCAGTCTAATTTTGTCAGCTGCAAATAGGCAGCCAGCGATGGTACATCGGTGATTTCATTCTCATCGGGTCCAGCCTCGAGGAGAAGTGTTGTCCACTCGGGTATTTCTGATAATCGACTCGCCACCACGGCACCAGCCGATCCACCACCAACAACAATGAAATCATACTCCAAATCCAATGGATACCTGTTGATTGGCTTACTCTCAGGATCCAGCTGATCGTAGCGATAGAATGAGAGACCGGCGATCAATAGTGGTACAAGCCAGAGACTTGAACCAACAAGACCGAGAGCTCCCTTCAAAGCTGACGTCACGACAATAGCGCTGAAAACCATTTCTGTCACAATTGCTGAAACCTTGTTTCATTCCTATCAATAATTTTTTTTTTTTTAATTTGGTTTTGTTTTTTGTATTTCGTAGAGGGGAATTCCTTTTTTGGTGAATTTCGATTTGTCAGGGCAGTAAATCTGGAGGCCTCAACCTTTTTCTTTCGAGACCTCGGCCACTACTTGGTCTGCACATCTTATAATTGATGGACTTTTGTGTTAGAGAAGCATCTTTGGATTTTTGATTTTCTGAAACAATTGAGATTTATATTAGGTGTTTGTTTAGTGATGGAATAATTAGTCTTTAAATTATTTTATTTTTTACATTGAACGTGTAAGCAAAAAGTATATTGTGTATCCAACAAGAGGAAAAAGAAGATGTTTTCGCACTAGGTGCACACGGTGCTTTATGTAACACTTGTTTAGAAAAAAAATCATTATTATTCTGTTTTAACGGAGAAGTGTAATCTTATGCTGATTACAGTGTATGTTGTGCTATACACTCTAAAAAAAAGTAATCTCATAATTAGACAGGATTGCCACAGATCAGGAAAATCAGGGAATTCAGGGAAAAGTCAGGGATTTTTGTTAAAGTACTAGAAGAAATTGAATTTTGGAGAAGTTACGAGTGATTGCAAAAATTCAATTATTTAAAAAAGTAGGTAATAAAATTCTTCGCAGAAATTCAATTATGTTCAAAAATTTAAAAAAATTCAATTATCTTTTAAAATAATAAAATTCTTCTCCAAAATTCAATTATTTTCAAAATTTTTTAAAAATTCTAGCCAAAATTTAAATTATCTTTAAAAATAATAAAATTCTTCTCTAAAATTAAATTATTTTCAAAAATTTTCCTCAATTCAGTGATTTTTAATATCTACTATTTTAATAAAATTTTTCAAGAGAATTCAATTATTTAAAAAATTCGAATAAAATCATTCGCAAGAATTCAATTATAAATAATAAAATGCTTTTTAGGAATTCAATTATTTTCAAAAAAAAAATTTAATAAAATACCACACAGACATTCATTGTCAAAAATTTTAATAAAATTCTTTGTAAAATTTAATTATTTTTAAAAACTTTTCGCAATTCAATGATTTTCAATATATCTACTATTTTCATAAAATTTCCAAACAGAATTCAATTATTTAAAAATTTTGTTTTAAAATCTTGGTAAGGATTCAATTCTTTTCACAAATAATAAAAATTCCTTAGGAATCCCATTATTTAAATTCGAATTTGCATAAAATTAGCCGAAAGAAATCAATTATTTAAAAAATTTGATAAAATTCTTCGCAAGAATTAAATTATTTTTATATGTAAATATATTTAAATTCTTTCATGAATAAATAATGAAACTCGTTGCAGTATTTCAATTATTTTAAATACAATTTTAATTGAATTTCTCGAAAAATGTAATTATTCTTAAAAATTTTATTTTTAAGAATAAAATAAATAAATAAATAATAAAATTTTCAAATAATTGAAAATTTGTTGATAAAATTCTTTATGAGAATTTAATTCTCCTAAAAATTGTCAATTATTTTTATAAATAATTAAATTCTTCTTTGAAATTCAATTATTTAAAAAAATTTTAATATAATTCATCTCAAGAATAACATTATATTTATAAGTAATAAAATGTTTTACAGGAATTCAATTATTTTCATAAATAATTTAACTCTTCCCAGGTTTCAAATTATTTTTATTGTTAATTTTAAATGAATTCCTCAAGAAATGTTATTATTTTTAACATTTTTATTAAAATTCGTCGAAAAAATTCAACTACCTATTTAGAAATTTTTTTATAAATTTCTTCGCAATAATTCAATTATTTGCAGAAATAATAAAATTTGTTTGCAGACATATTCAATTAATTTCATGAATAATAAAACTCATCATAGAATTTCAATTATTTTAATTACAATTTTAATCGAATTTCTCGAAAAATGTAATTATTCTGGAAAATTTTCTTAAAATTCGTCAAAAAAATTCAATTATTTAAAAATTTCAATTATATAAAATTATAAAAAAAAAATTATAAAATTATATGAATTATAAAAATTTGTTTATAAAATTCTTTATAAGAATTCAAATTTAAGAAACATTCAATTACTGAATAAATTTTTTTTTGTATTCAAATAATCGAATTCTCGTATAGAATTTTTTAAAAAGCATTGATTTAAAAATGAATTTTAGTAAAAATTTTAAATAATAATTGAATATTCAAAGCATTATAGCATGAATTTTTAGAAGTAATTGAATTTTGAAAACGTTTAATTGAATTTTTTTCGAAATTATTTCAAGTTTTTATTTTCTAAATATTTAATTGAAGAATATTTTCTGATTAATCGAAATTTTATAAAATTGAATTGTAATTTGTAAACAAATGGATTTGAAAATTCTCAAGGAAGTTTTGCAAAAAGTATTAAAAATAATTGATAATTGAATTCTTTCGAAGAATTTTAATAATATTTTTGAAAATAATTAAATTTTTCAAAAAATTTACTTAAAATTGTATTAAAAATAATTGAAATCATGTGAAGAATTTTATTATTTATGAGAATAATTGAAGTCTTGCTACGAATTTTTATTACATTTTTTTAAATAATTGAAATCTTGTGAAGAATTTTCATTATTTTAAAGAAAATAGAATTCTTGCAACGAATTTTATTCAATTTTTTTTTAAATAATTGAAATCCTGTAAAGAATTTTATTATTTATAATAATTTTCAATAATTAGTTAATTTTAGGAATTTTGAATTTTTATAAAAAAAAATAATTGAATTTTTTAAAAATAATTGCATTTTCCTAAAGTGAAGAGTTTTATAGAAGTTTTTCAAAATAATCAAGATTAGTTAAAAATTAAAAATTGTTTGAAATAATTAAAATTTCCTAAAATTCTATTAAAAATAATTGAATTTTTGAACGAAATTTATTGTAAATTTTTGAAAATAATCGATTGAAATTCACTACTTTAATTTTATTAATTATTTTAATTCTATTTATTATCTATAAATTAATATTTTTACATGTTATTATTAAAAATTTTTTAAATAATTGCAATGTCTTGAAATAATTGAAATTTTCTAAAATTCTATTAAAAATAACTAAATTAAAAAATAAAAATTTATTGAAATTTTTGAAAAAAATCTAGGGAAGTTCGCCTCATTCATTTTTAAAAATATTTCACTTCTTGTTTGTTGGAGACAATTGAATTTTTATAAACAGCAAATTGAAATTTTTCAAAATAATTCCATTTTCCTAAAATTCTATTAAAAATAACTAAATTTTTTATAGAATCTTATTGTAATTCTTGAAAGTAATCAAGGGAAGTTTGTTACGTTAATTTAAAAAAAATTTCAGTTCTATTTGTTAAAGATAATTGGATTTTTCAAGAAAGTAATTGAAATTGTTTTCAATTAATTGCATTTTTATCAAATTTTGTTAAAAATAATTGAATTTTTTAAAGGGAAATTTTTAAAGAAAGTAATTAAGAAAAGTTCGTTATACATTAATTTCAACAACAAAAATTTTTAGTTATATTTGTTCAAGATAATTGAATTTTTCAAGAAAGTAATTGAAATTGTTTTTAAATAATTGCATGTTCCTAAAATTTTGTTAAAAGTAATTGAAATTTGGAAGAATTTTATTGGAATTCTTGAAAGTAATTGAAAAGGAAAAAATTCTAGCTTACCATCTCCAAAATTAAATTGTAATATAAATTCATATTTACTTCTGTCATAGTAAAATTTACTAAATAAAAATAGTAAAAATTGACAAAAATTTCAAATGATTTGGGTTTTATTTTAAAAATAAAAAAAGTTACTTTAGTTTATTTTTCTCTTCGTCTATGGTTTATCAACCTTCCCAAATTAACCTGTAACTTTACAGCAAGCTTGCACTACAAATTTACTTACTTTACACCCAAATTTACCACAAGTAGTAAAATGCAAGCTTGCTGTAAATTTACAGGTCACTTGCATCGTTTACTGTCCCAAAAGAAAACGAAACTATAATATCGAAAGTATAAAATTCCTTTATAGCCAAAAGAAATCCAAACATTTTTCCTCACATATATTATTATACTTTCTTCGATAAATTTTATTAATCTTCTGTCAAATTTTGCAAACAAAAAGAATAAAATTAGATGAAAGTTTTTAATATAAAATTAGGTATTAAAAAAAAAGTATAAAAATGATTTTTATTTACTTTCTTTATAATATTTACATTTCTTTTATATATATTTTATGCTTTCTCCAATTGCATATACCATAAGTTTCAGGTTTTTAAAAAAAAAAAAAAATGTTTTACAACACTGTTATTCCTTTGGTTAGAATTTTTTTTCTCCTCTCTTTTACTTCAAATCTAACTGCTTTTATGAAAATAAAATTGAAAATATAGTTATTTGTGGCTTACGGATTGATGACAATAATTCTCGTAATTTGATCAAAGAAATGCGCGTTTCATTCTATAAGGAAAAGACCTCTCGATAACAGTCGCATTCTTCTTTTCTCCCAGACATTTGTATTGTGCAATAAAAATTGAATGTAACGATATTTCGTCTACTTTTGTATGTATAGTAGGATTTGAAAAAGAAATAATCTTTTATATATAGTCACATAGAAATTATGGTGTTAGATTTTTTATTGGTCATCATTAAACATTACGGTGTTCATTAAAATTTATTTTCAATGTGTTGGATTCTATTTTTGGATCTTCGGAAATCTGATTTTTTTTTTAAATATATTTGTATCAATATAATCAAAGTAAGAAAGCGTGAAATATAAAATTTTTATTCTCTTTTGGTGTCAACAGTATACGTGAAAAGTTGTTTTTTTTATGAATTCTTTACATTTTATTACATCATTCACGTCATAAGATTTGTGAGAAAATATTTAATGATGGTTATCACGGTTACTTACCCCAACCAATCACATCTCATAGTTAGTGGCTGTATTGATGGTTCACTTTCGTTCAAATTGCAACTGGCACCTTCGTTCTTCCTCGTAAAGTCTCAATCAGTGTTTAATTTCCTGCGCTCTGAAACGTATTTACCTTGTTAATTGACAATCGATTGGCCTGATAAAGTATTGATTCATTATTATTGTTCTATTTAAATTAATACCAAGTTTTTGTAGGTGCATTGAGAAAAATAATGTGTTGAGCATAAAACTAATTTCCTTTTAAAACAAGTCCTTTAATGATTTATTTTCTATCGTAAAAGGAAACTTTAAAATTTTTAAATTCTAGACGTTTATTGACAAAACAAAAAAGAATAGATTAACTAAAAATTAAATTAAAAAAGGATAAAAGATTTCTTTTGTTATTTAAAATTTTAAATGAAATTTCATTTCTTTTTGTCATAAGAAGAAATCCTTTCAAATTAATATTTAAAGGAAAATCCTCTTATAAGATGAAAGGTTTCCTTTGAAGCTAAATAGATTGTTTTCTCAGTGCAGTTAATTAATAATTTGTTGAATTAAATATTAGAGGAAAATATTCTATAAATAAAATAAAATATAATATAATATAATATAATATAATATAATATAATATAATATAATATAATATAATATAATATAATATAATATAATATAATATAATATAATATAATATAATATAATATAATATAATATAATATATGTTGAGGTTTTTTGAATTTGGGTAAAAAAATAGCAAAAAATTTGGAGATGCCGGGGATCGAACCCGGGGCCTTTCACATGCAAAGCGAACGCTCTACCACTGAGCTACATCCCCGTGATTGTCTTGGAAATTTTTACAATCGAACACGTGTTGAAGTCCCCCCTTTTACTAAATGACTCATTCACTCTCCTCCCTCCAATACTTTAACTACTATTTCTTAATTACATAATTATGACAAATACATTTTTCCTATTTTTCTGTAAAGAAAAATAGTTATAATCAACACAAAAAAATCCGAAACTTTTACTGAAATAAAATTATACGTGTTTTTACTTATTCGCAAAGTAAAAAATAATTTATTATTAAAAGTATAATAATTTTAGAAAAAGACTTATTTTTCTTACATTCGATTTAGCAGTTTTTTTTTCTAATAAAGTCTTGTAATAACAAATTTTTTTTTAATTTTTCAACGTTAAAATTTCAATTATTTTTATGATTAATAAAATTTTTCTTTGAAATTCAATTCTTGGGATAATTTCAATTTTTTTCAAAAATTTTCCTAAATTCAATGATTTTCAATATCTACTATTTTAATAAAAATTTTCCAAAAGAATTCAATTATTTAAAAAAAAATTTGGATAAAATTTTAGGTAAACATTTAATTATTTTCATAAATAATAAAAATATCACAGGAATTCAATTATTTGAAAATGTTTTTAATAAATTTCTTCGCAACAATTTAATTATTTTCATAAGTATAATCAATTTTTTTTACATGGATTCAATTATTTTCGATAAATAATACTATTCTTTTTAGAAATTAAATTATTTTCATAAGTAATCAATAAATTGTTTTACATGGATTCAATTATTTTCGATAAATAATAAAATTCTTTTTAGAAATTCACATATTCATCGCAAAATTTCAATTCTTTTTAATACAATTTTAATCGAATTCCTCGAAACATGTAATTATTCTTAAAAGTTTTATTAAAATTCGTCAAAAAAATTGAAGTATTTAAAAATTTGTTAATAAAATTCTTCATGAGAATTCAATTTTCAGAAACATTCAATTATTTAATAAATTATTTATTTCTTGCATTTAAATAATTGAATTCTCGTAAAATTTTCTAATAAAAATTAATTTTAGTTAAAATTTTAGATGATAATTGAATATTAAAAGCATTAGAGTGTAAATTTTTAGAAAGAATTGAATTTTTAAGACAATTTTAATTAAATTCATCTAAAAAAAATTCAAAAATTCAATTACCTACGTTCAAAAAATTTTTAAAATTCTCCTCAAAATTTCAATTATTTTTATAAATAATAAAATTCTTCTTTGAACTTCAATTATTTTCAAAAATTTTCTACAATTCAATGATTTTCAATATCTAGTATTTTAATAAAATTTTCCAAAAGAATTCAGTTCTTTAAAAAATAATTTTAATAACATGTTACAAAAATTCAATTATTTGCAAATTTTTTTATAAATTTCTTCGCAATAATTCAATTATTTTCATAAATAATAATTTTTTTACAGGAATTCAATTATTTTCATAAATAATTAAATGTTTTACAGGGATTCAATTATTTTCGATAAATGATAAAATTCCTTTTATGAATTCAATTATTTAAATAAATAATAAAACTCATAGCAGAATTTCAATTATTTTTAATACAATTTTAATTGAATTCCTCAAAAATGTAATTATTCCTAAAAGTTTTATTAAAATTCGTCAGTAGAATTCAATTATTTAAAAATTTATTGATAAAATTCTTTGTGAAAATTCAATTTTTCCAAAATTTTCAATTATTTTTATGAATAATTAAATTCTTCTTTGAAATTAAATTATTTTAAAAATTTTTAATAAAATTAATTTCCAGAATAAAATTATTTTTATGTCATAAAATGATTGACAGGAATTCAATTATTTAAAATAAAAATGTAATAAAATTCGTTGCAAAAATTCAATTATTTTCATAAATAATTTAACTCTTCTCAGGATTTAACCAATTTTTAATGTTAACTTTAAATGAATTCCTCAAGAAATGTAATTATTTTTAACAATTTTATTAAAATTCTTCGAAGGAATTCAATTTATTTAAAAATTTGATGATAAAATTCTTAATTTTTGATTTTGTTGAATTTTGAGAATTCAATTTGAAGAAACATTGAATTATTCAATAAATTATTTATTTTGAGAAACAGTCAATTATTTAATAAATTATTTATTTTTGTATTTAAATAATTAAATTCTCGTCCAATTTTTTTTTTTTTTTGATAAAAGTTAATTCAAGAATGAGTCTTTGTTAACACTTTAGAAAATAATGAAATATTGAAAGCATTATAGCATGTGAATTTTTAGAAAGAATTAAATTTTCAAAAGGTTTCAAATTAAAATTTTTGAAAATTTGAATTTTTCATACTTTTAACTAACAATTCTGTAGAATTAATTTTGTTGAAGATGTTTTATTAATTTAAAAAAAAAAAAATTTAAAGTTTTGTTTTCCAATATATATTTATTGAAAAATTTCCGAATAATGGAAATTTCGTAAAATTGAATTTTAAAGAAATAGATTTAAAAATTATCAAAGAAGTGTGTTTAAAAAATTATTAAAAATAATTGATTTAAAGAAGAATTTTACTCTCTAAACTTGAATTACTAAAAAATTTTTACTAATTTGAATTAGTGGCAGACTTTTTGCTTTTGAATTAGTAAATTTTACTAATAAATAGTCATTTCTACTAAATTTTTAGTAAAATTTACTAATTCAAAAGCAAACAGTCAGTCACTAATTCGAAGTAGTAAAAATTTTTACTAATTCAAATTTAGAGAGTAGTTAAAAATTCTAGAAAATAATTTATTTATTTTTTCTTTTTTTTAAATATTTCCTTTTGTTTCATTATACCAACCCCACATAACCTTGGAGAGCGGAATCCAAGGTATCTGTAGGCAGATTTCCCAAAATTCCCTAAGCAAAAAAAAAAAAAAAAAAATAATGATTCTATCACTCGGTAATCTTTAATTTATTATAAAACATGAAGAAATCAATTATTCCGAGTTGAAGACTCGGAATAATCGATTTCTTCTTGTTTTATAACAATATTATTAATATTGATAAATAAATAAATTTATTTCTTAAATTAATTTATTAATATTATTAATAGTTATTGAATTTAAAGAAAAATGAAAATTTGGTCTGGAAATGAGGAAAAAGTCATGAAAAAACCAAATCAAGTATTTGTGGCAACCCCGATGATAAAAAATATAGAGATAAATAGAAATGTCAATAAAAATAGTGACTAAAAATATTGTTTACATTTTACATGAAAATTCAATAAATATTATCTACATTTTAAGTTTAACAATATATATGTATACTAACAAGGGGGAACAAGTTTAAATGGTTAACTATTATATACAGATCTAATGAGTGAGTGCACTATTATATATAATATTGAAATAAAAACAGTAATCACTATAAAGTTGAAAGAAGGATTTCCAAGTGTTGGTGTTGGTACGGCGCATAGTGTATGTATTTAGTTGAACGTTTCCGTATAAAATACATTGTATTGTGTATTATATGTTCAAGTATAAAGTATACTTTAAGTACGTACACATTCGCTATATATTTTTTCAAGTAGAAGTACGAGATGGTGATCTCATAACAGGGAAAGGAGAAAGTGTTTCGCAGTTGTAAAGCCAGACTTCTTCTTTTCCTTCTATTCACGAAAGTCACGGTTACGTTACACATTTCTCAATCATTAACACGCGATTAATAATAGGACAGTTAGGTGGCGACCTTGCGCGTGTACCCTGACCATATATCAACATTGTACTTAGAATAATAACGCTTTGGACACTTCCAATTAAACATGTGCTTTTATTTCCTCAATTTTATTATTTACTTCTTGCGGGAACTCATCATCATCATCATCATTTCTTGTCTCATTTTTATTGTTATTTTGCTTTTGATCTTTGGGTTTTCAATATATTTTCGCTTTGACATAATGATGATAGATTCTTTCATGATTGATGATAAACCTTTTTTTTTTTGTTTTTTATCGATAGTTTTAACTCCCTAATTGTTTACGGGTTTACAGTTTTTCTAACTCTAAATTTGAATTAGTCCTTTGACTATAATAACAGCAGGCTTCGCACTCATCTACTAAAACCTACTATTTACTACTTTTTGTTTTTTTACGTTATGCTACTATTTGGGTTCTTTTTTTAGATTCCAGCCACTAAAAGCTGCTATTTCTGTTTTTTTTTGAGAGAATTTCCATTACTTTAAATTCGCTAATACTAGAAATCAAAAAATTATTCGAAAAAATCATAATCAAATTCTTTAAAACGATTCAATTATTTTCGAAAAATATTCCAAATTCAATTATT